TTTTTCCACTTCCTACACCCTATACCAGATAATTTAAATTATTTTTTTTTGGCGATTTCGTTCTTCGTGATTATCTCGGAAAAATTCAGAAAAACGTTTGTGTCATTTTTCTGACTAATCTACGACTGTTTTTGAAGCTCTCAATGGTTTGTACTTGGTCTCATTATCATGTACAGTAAATTGTTCCGTTTGTACTGCGATGGGAGTGGAAGTACGGAAGATGAGACGTATCCACATCAAAACTTCACGAACGACATATGGAATCCATTACGATGATTTTACGCTTGATAAAAATGGAATCAGATGATTTGATTAGAATAATAATAATATCAATAATAATAATAATAATGAATAATTTTCGTTGGTACATACGAGTACTAACGATTTAGAAGCTATCTGTATGTTTTCCTGACGTCCTTTATACCTTTAAGATTTTAGAAGCGGGTAAAGTATTGAAGGGGTTGATAAATGAAATGGAAAAATATAGTACATACAAGTTCACACAGCTCTGGGAGGCGCGAGAAATCTCAAAATAAAAATTTTTTTTCTTTCATCCGGGGCCAAAGTGTCATATAGCCCCTCTGATGAAATAGCGGTAGATAGTAATTATTCAAGATAATGTCAGTGTTTTTAGGACGAACAAATGACGAACAAACGATTCCTTAGGAGGAACAAATAAAACAAAGACTTCATTGTAAGAGGGGCTACATGAGAGGCTATATATAGCCTCGTCAGTCGTTTTCATAATTTGCTATCAATTTATAAAACGGTTTATGAAGCAATAAGAAATTATTTAAACAAATATCCGTATCAATAATATGATTTATTTAAAAGAAGCGCGATCAAGCCTTTAATATTCTGTAATTCATGGATTGGACCAAGCCTTTCCATCGTCGCATCCTGCCTGGGGTATACTTTTTTGTTCCCTATTTGATAGTGTCATTATTTTGCCCGTGTTTTGAATACTTGTATACACATTACGAGTTTACCGTGTTATGCGCCGGGACAAAAGTAAATTCCTCAACGATCCCTGCATTGCAGCGTTTTCCTGCTTGCTATTCACAAAAAAAATGAAAGGGAAGGAAACATTGTGAAACGTAATCACATTATATCCCGAGTTAGATTCGAAGAGAAGTAGGAAACAGGATAAAGAATGGAAGAACCTGGGGAAGGAAATTCAAGGTGAATATATTATTTGTTGTTGTACAGATGTCCCTCAATTCTTCTGCAGTATGGAAATTTTATCAGAAAATAAACGGAAAGGAACAAGGCTGAAATAATGTTGGAAAAAAAACACAAAAAAAATTGGGATAATTTTTATGTCTACAATACACCCATGAAAAAGCGGCTTCATAAAATAAGTGGGACCTCTCCTACTCGGATTTTGTATAGCGAATGAAATTCAGGTTTAAAGAGCGCTTGGATATCCTATGAAATTCCGTAGCGAGTTAAATCCTCACTTGAAATTTCCGGGGCGTCCGCTAGCCACTAGGGCTTTCCGCCGTGTGTTATCGCAAAGCTATGTGCTGTAGACACTGTGTCCCAACTCTTTCACCACCTTTCTTCATTTCTCGGTAGTATTTCTAGAGTGTGCAAATTGCAATTAAATCCAGTGGAGTGATGTACAGTTGAAAAGAAACCTCATATGTAACATTTATTCATCATTTTAAATATTGCATTATCTCGATAACGAGTGGTGTCACGGGAATATATATGTAGGAAGATATGTTTTTTATTTCAAATTCTATCAGCTAAAGGAAGAATATTTTTCTCAATGCACCGTCACCAAGACCTATATAGTGGCACTCGTAAATAGCATCATTCGTGTTTCCAGAACTGACGGCACTCTGGCACTCTGGCGGATGTCAGGGACTTGTGGGTTCCTACGGTCACGCATGCACACGTCATCAAGTGCACAACGGCCTGAATGTTGTAGGAGTAATGGAATGTGCTCTCTGTGTTGTTCATGACTAGACGTTGAACAACTTTACGTGATGTCCAAATAGGGGACAAATTTTTTTCTCACTGTGTTTGCGGTGTACATTGATCAGATAGCGGGCTATTTGCGACAATTGTTTTCCAGGTAATGAGGCTTTTATGAGTCGCCGGAGAATTGTTGCAGAAATGTTGAGGGTGTCACATGTGATATTGCCGTTATTCTCGGGGGGCGGGGAGGTTCTCTCTTACATAAATACCCATGGGACAAATTCCAAGACACTGTTTGGAATAATTATTTTGTCCAAAATGTCGACAATTTTTGGGCGATAACCGATTGCTATTTTTTGAGAATTTGTTGAAACATCTTCTTGCGCGTTTCAATTAATTTTTCTCAATTCACCACACGGAGAAAAATGTTCAGTAAAGATTACGGAACTCACAATTCTCTCACCGATTACGGAATGGACTCAGAAAATTTAAGTGACGGTATCGCAATTTTTCACAGGAGATTCAGATAAAAATTACGGAACGCTCTCGAAAAATTCCATGACAGTTCCGTAAAATTTCCTACAACCATATTTCGCTCTGGAATTACGGAAAAGATACGTAATTTTTATGGAATATTTCTCACCGTGAAAAATAATGTTCTGTGTCGTATATATAATCTCTATTCAACCCTGGCAATTTCTCAATACACAGGCTTCATTCATATTATTCGAAACAAAGATCCATTTCACAAAAGTAGCGAAACCTCATAAATAACAACCCAAGAGAAGTTGGGGGAGAAAAAAAGGGTCGTGATGAAAGTCCATAATGTTTGAAAAGCGTCTCACAAATTCAGGTGGCGTTCAAAAGAGGATAGAAATTTATTGTCAGGCCATTATTCTTCGCGTGCCGAATTCAACCGATAATTACAGCACAAGGAGACTACAGAGTGGCCGGAAATTTGTGTCATATATTAGAATGATGGAGATGAAGTGGAAGAATGGGACGAGTCTGGTGGTGCGAGGGGGGGGGCTGTGAGGGGGAGGGGGAGTGAATCAAGGGAAAATGGTTGACGGTCTATAGGACAAAGTTGAGATCGATTTCACCAGAGACCGACTCGATTTAATTAAGCTCCACCCCTCCATTCACTCCAAGGTTAATAGTGGAAGTCGAGGAGTCGAAGGGCTTTGGCTGGATTCAAGGGTGAACCACAGGAATGACTACAATACTGTTAATCAGTGCCCCCTCGTGCAATATGTAATATTGATGCTCAATATTTAAACTCACCTGTACACCACCAACACCAACTATGAACAGAAGCTGTACCATGAAGAGAGCTGCTAAAAGATTCATGAGGGTTGTACCAGCCAAACTGCGTAAATCCGAGAATAAACTGCAATTATATGAAAGAGAATTTGTTTTCACAATATATCTTAGATTGTCTTAATATCACATTCTTCTCGATGAAATTCAATGAAAAATCCTATTAATGAAGGCCATTATGTCAGTTTTATTCTACTGGGTTGTTTTTTTAATTGAGAAAAAACCATTGGAATAAAGTTGCAGTGAGCATAAATTGACAGTAAAATAAATTTGCCACCTGGGGTAGAGCGAGGCAATCTTGCACCAGGTCGTTGTCAGTTCAATCCGATAAGCTCAATAGCCTCAGGATCGTACCAATTTATCAATCTCCCTCCTCAACCCCCTCACTCAGCCGGTAACCCTCTGAGAAAACCTCTTGTGCACATCCTCACATTTTTCTTTTTTGCTTAGGAAAAAAAAAAACGATAGCGTATTTTAAACTTTTAACACGAGTGAGCCTTCGCAAAAGCTCAACAATTCTCCGATTCAGTTGAGCGGAATTTTCTCCAGTGTAAACTCGATACCATTATACTCTATTTACTTGGTTTATTTTATTTTTCATTCTCTTTTATTTGTATGAGCCAGTTGGGAGTGAGAGAGGGGGCTGCTGTGAGAAAACTTTCATTTCTATTTCCTCACTTTGGGAAATGTGAATAGAACCTCTGCGGTGTAACTCGAGTTTTGCTCTACTTATTGAGGGCGTTTGAGAGGTTACTATCGATGAAAATAGGCTATACTAGAAAATATTGCAACGAGGAAATATGCTGGCTTTATTCTGTCGTTCAAAATGTGCTGAATATTTCGGGAGTTAATCGCTGGAGGGGCCCTTTTGGCGAGTTCTCTTGGGAAAAGCATCAACGACGAGAAAATACAGTCGAAAATAGTATATTGTGTTACAAGTGCGTAAAGAACCACTTTTTCGCACGCACGCGTACCATTCTATTTTTTGTAATACCCTATTTAAGTAATGGAACCGTACCCTAGTGGAAAAACATAAGGTGAAGGCGTAACATGCCTGATCAAATTTCGGATCAGAATTGATCAGTTTCTGATCAAGATCTGAACAGAATTTACACTCGGGTAGTGGGGGTAAAGTGGTTGCTTTACGCACGACCTCTGAACTTTACGCACATTGTGCTAAAACAACCACTTTACACACACTAAACACACACGGTTTCGAAAAGTGAACTTTTGAGGCAGGTATTACAAAAAAACAAAAAATTAATTATTCTCATTTCACTTTCTCATCGAATGGAGAATTGAAATAAAAAACGTGAATGTTGCTGAACAGTAAATAAATAACACCGGAAAATTGTATTAATTTTTCTGTACCAACGATTTTTGTTCGTCACATTCTACGTTTATGTTACACTGTGCCAACAATTGTATCTGCGATGAGAAATAGTATAGCCTTCCATGTTTTATGGAGCGAAAACCTCTTCGGTGACTCCCAAGAGGGGTTTGATGCTTCAGGTGTGTATCCCGTTCTGCAACACTACAACGCCAATGATACACTGAATTTTTCCCTTTGGGATTTTTTCTCAACGTGTTTTATTGAGTTTATTTCTTCACTTATCGTGTCGCAAGGTTCAGTGAGGATTTTTTTTTCTTCAGGGGAATATAGGGTTTGGTTACAGTTGATGCGCAAATATTGGAATATTTTTCACTATTCATCTGGCTGGATTTTTTCACTCATATATGATGAAATTGCAATTCCCATAAAATCTTTTATTATCTTGACTCGGTGAGTTCAGAACTGTTGGTTTCAACGGATTTTCAACCTCTTTCTTTTGCCCCTTTTTCTGTTGTCTTTTCGTGGTTTATTTTCTTTTTATTTTGTTGAGGGAATGAATTATTCAACAAATGAATACGGTAAAAAGAATGAATTTCACGCTTTTTCATGGCGCAAAATTTATTCAGCTTAATCGGCTTTGCGCTCTCTACGTGACGATCGATTTTCAAATGTTTTTGGATTTTATTGAAGCGATGGAAATGGAGAGAGAATGAACTTAATTGAGGGATTATTCTAAGATTTATAATAGGAAACGAGTTCAATGGAAATGAGAAAATATGGAATACACATTTTTAAACCAAGCTCTTCTGTTTACATTAAATTAATCAATTATTCGATTGAAATCAATTGCATTTCAAATCGTTCATTGGGTACAATCAAGTTTAATCGAGTCAAGCAATTGGCTTTGATGAATTCACTGGAATCTGTGAAATCACCACGAAACATTCTGTAAGAATAATTTAATCTGTTCATTCTGGTGAAAATTTTTTTATCGTGAACCATGTTGTTATGATAAGTAATGAATTTCAACATTTTACGTTTATTCCATGAATAAGAAGCTATGAAAACCCTTGACGATGGCAAGGGCCGCGTGAGTGAGCTTTCAGACTACAAAAGCTGAAGCGGCTAACAATGAACCCCGAATTTCCACTTTTTTCCGAGATAAAAGAATCTTGGACACACAAAAACGTAGGCAATGCGTATTGTTTCAGGCTTCATTGGATTCTTCCGTAATACACTTGACTCCTTTGTCCCTTTGAAATCACGGGAGTAGCGATGACACGTGGAAAAAAATGAGAGTGAAAAAAGATGAAAAAAAAGTGGACAAATTGTCTCGAAAAAAAACCATTACTTTACAGTTTGTTTCCAATGTAATTCGCTGGAAAATTGATTGAACATGTGTAATTATTTGCTCTCCGGTGATAACCAAAATACGATGACGTGAAAAACGGGAGATGAAATAACGTTGAGCGAAAACAACTGTGAATTAATGCTGACTGTAAGCGGATGGTAAAATGAATAAACCTCTCTTCGTTTGAGTGAATCTGCAAAAAGCAAAAAGCGTTCCGCTACGCTTTTCACAAAATGTAATTATATTATATCTCGGTTGTTCTCCCAAAGCTCCCGCGGAAGGCGCAAGCATGCGCGCGTTCTAGAGCGTCCCATTTTTTTGTAATCTTTTTGTCGTTGTTTTATGTTTTTTTTATTTTCATTACTTTACGAAATTCATGAGGGTTCCGATTAATTAATGACATTGTTTAGTATCCAAAGGATGGGGTTGCTTCCGGACATTTATCCGATGGCGGTAATTGAAATTCCAAAAGGATTCAATCGTAAATTTTGGTTTGACGACTCGGGGAATTTATAGCCATTTCAATTGGTAACTTTTTTTTTGTTGAATAAAAGATAAATTCTGATTGAATCGCCTCCTCAAATAACAATAATGTTTGATATTCTCGCGAATGAAAACAAAGCATGTATTCAATCTTTTTGTGTTGCGCGTTGGATTATTTCGGAAAAGGCAATCCATTAGAATTAACAAAGTATGAATACAAGCACTCGCAATTATAGATAAACACAGCCCTTCGTCTCAACCAAAATCGATACTCTCCAAGATTTCCCCGTCTACGCGCATCATTTTTTTGGAGGTGTACTTTTTCATACACCTCAGGAAAACAACCAACAATTTTTTTTCTTACAGCCGTTATGACAAAAAATATCATTCGACATAGGGCCTAAAAGCACTTTTTTGGCTCATATGAATTCAACCCTCGTCTTCGGCTGGGGCTGTAAACTCATATTCGCCAGAAAAGTGTTTTTTTGCCTAATGACGAAACATACGTTTTCTTCACTGATGATTTTTTTTTTTTCATTTTTTATTGGTCATCAGGAACTGCAAAAGCTCCAAGCAGTATAATGAATTACAAATTCTCGTTCACATCGAGCCAATTTGAATTTATTGATGAGAAAAGAAGGGAAATGAAAAGGTCGTATTCCTTATCGCATATAGATTGGTTAACTTTTTTCATCTGCAAATCCCACTCACCCGGTATTGTTATTCATTTTATTGCTACCCTGAAAAGCCTCAAGTTTCCACTGAGAAAATTGTGAGAGGTTTACTCCGAAAAATTAAGACATTAATTGGTTATTGCAATGGTGCGAATCAAAAGGTTAATTTTAGACGTGGTTATAGGTATCGGGGTTATTACCAGTGGTTGTTTAGATGATGACAGACTTCTTGAGCTTTCTCGGATGTCGTAAACAATGTTTTAAACTTGTTCAAAGCGTTATGATAATTGCCGTCTGCTCCAGCACGAGCATGAATTAGTAATTCAGAAAATTCAAAATGAGACTGCTCTTCAGTTGAGAACTTGTTTGTGACTTTCTTATGTATTTCATGGACCTCTCTCTCTCTCTCTCTCTCTCTCTCTCTCTCTCTCTCTCTCTCTCTCTCTCTCTCTCTCTCTCTCTCTCTAGTTCTTCATCCATTTGGTTCGATAGCGAACATTAATTTCTAGTTACATATAAATTCTAAGCACGTTCGACCATCTCCCCGAATATCTTTCATAACTCTGCACAAAATGTGCATCGTAACGATACCCCTCAATAATCTTATTGAAAAAAAAAAGGAGAGAAGAATGCAAATGGGGATCTCATCAAAATGGCGTTTCTCTATAAATATGAATACGTTGGAATACGTGTGCATACAGGGCATATTTTTGGTGGAGATATCTCCATGAGTTATTCAGGTGCTGCAGCAATGTGTCAATGTGGGAGAAATTGTGAATCTGATCGATTCAGAGCAGGCACCTTTAGTCCGCCGGGAAATTGGGGAAAAGAGAAAATAAAAGATGGGGGTTGCATCTTATATCAAATGTCAGAGAGAAATACACATCTGTCATTTACATTCGCGGAGAATCTATCCCATCGATAGAATAGGAATATACTGTTTGAATTTTTTATTAAAAATTCAATTTATAATTTATGTTGAAATCTTTAATTTTATTGATTTCGAATATGTTTACAACAATTACTTCATTTCTCAACTTTGCCTAATTTGAAATTAAACATGAAACCCGTTTCACTAACGATGTAACTAAAATACAAACTTTAGAAGCTGTTCAAATGTCAGCAGGCCTTGAATCCAACGAAAAGGGAGAAAAAACACTAGTTATTACCGTCGCGTCAGCAATGTTTATTCCCCCATGTGAATGAGTAAAAAAAATATAATAAATATC